AAAAAAGAGTACAGGGTCCTATTTCTAACTGACCCCCTTTTGCTCATTTTCTCCCTTTAGCATCACACACACAATATAAAGTCAATTTTGCAGTGGTGTGGTCAAAACTGTCTTTAAAGATAAAAGGAAGGCAGGTAAGTCATGCCAAGAAGGAATCACTGAGAGCCAGAATTAAAACATTGCAAAGGATAGGCCTCCCCTGGTAGCACAGCAGGTTGAGCGCAGTGTTGTGAAGCTGTCCACAGCCTCTGCAGCGCAGGTTCCATTCCCAGCTGGCCATGGAGATACCCACATGGCACAACAGACCTCTCCTGTCCCGCCCGCTGCTCCCCTCAGCAGTGTATTTCAGTCAGTCTGCCTGTTCTATTCCCTGATCTGTCTCTGGTGAATCCTCTCACTCTTCCAGACATCTGGCCTGTAACCTGGTTCTTGTATGCATGAATAAATAAATCTAAAAAAATTATACTTAAAAAAATTGCAAAGGATGAGAAGGCTTCTAAAGTTTTTTCGAGGTTTAAAATCAAATTGACATCTAGTTCTACATAGCAAACTTTTAGTGACATACCTCTTGAGTTGGCAGAGGGTGGAGCATGAAACAACATCCACATTACTTCAATTAACACTAATGTAGAAAGCATGAAATTAACATACAATTTTAAATTGACATTAAATTCACTATTCATATCTTCACACACACACAGACAGCCCTGATTTCAAGAATTTTTCTAAAAACATATATTTTGTAATCTGTTTCCTTAATAGTTAGTCATGGGATAATAAGTTCCAATTGATTCTCAAACTTTAATATAATTTTATAAATTATTACTAAAAACAATGATTTTATTATGTAATTTTATGAAGTATTACTATTATAACAACAAAAACTGAGTTGAAGTGCCTGTGAATGATGAAAATTTTCAGTAACTTGGAATCTCATCTAGTCAAGATTGTTCATTAATATTATTCATAAAATTAGGGGGAAAAAATCTCATAGAAAGCAGTGTCAGCCCTGGAAGGACAGGGAGATGGTAATGAAGTGCAAAGTGGTGATTCTGAATGTCACGCTGGCCTCTCTGCGTGCTTCCTCCCTTTGACACAGCATGTTATTTAATGTGGTGAGAAACTGTGTGTTGAAGCAGTATCATTAATTACTAGAAATCACGTCATCGTCATAATTTTTTTTTTTAATGAGGAAGTTCAGACTAAGCAAAACTTGGGTCACTGCATGGCATATGTAAATACATAGGGAAGGTATGACTGGGGAACAGCAACCTTAAACAGACTCCCACAGAAGCAGCCAGCAGAACCTAGTCTTCCTCTCCTTCAAAGCAAAGCCTCCCACACACAGGAAGAGAAGAAGACAGTCACAACAAGCTGGTGCAAATGACACAATCACCTATGCAACTGACTTCGGAAACACACACACACACACACGTGCACACACACACTCATCCCAAAAGAAAGGAGAGAGATTCTCTTCTGAGTAAACTGGCGGGCAAAGCACTTTCAAAAAAGAATTCAAGATCCTCTTTCTGAGTAAATCACTTTACTCATTTTCTCCCTTTAGCATCTCACATACAATATAAAGTCATCTAAAAAGTTTTTGACAGTGTTTTGAAACTTGCCTCGCTTCTGCCAAAGTACAAATAAACAACGTGAACTGAATTTACTTGAATATGTTGTGAATGGGGGAAGTTGAAAGTACAACATAGGAAAAGATTTAGAAAGAAGTTATTATTCTTTTAGCTACATATTTTCACCTATACTGATGACGGGACCCTCTTCAGAAGAACTTATTGAATTGTGAAGCTCCACCAGGGTTCCCTCCGTCCTCAAACCTCATCACCTTCTCTGCCTCTCTGGTGCATATTCCCCTTGAGAGTCTTCCTTGGAGGCCTTGACTGGATGTTTGTGCCCGCTGCTGTCTGGGGACTTGCTGTTTACCTCACTGCAGTGTCCCCTGGTCACAAGGCAGATGGGCTTCCTGTTACTGTTGCTCCGGAAGTCACTCCCCGGTGAAGCCTTCACTGAACATCCCTGCTCTCAATCTACATCGCAGTTCTGTCAGGCTCTGACGTTAATTTATGTTCCTTCTCGACACTTCTCATTTTCCTCTTCAGGATTTCGGTGTTTAAAATGCAAGCTCTCTTTATGAATTCCTTCCTTCATTCAGTAAATGTTTATTGAGCACCTAACATGTCAAGCACTATTCTGAGCCCTAGTGGTTGAGCAGCAAACAAAACAGAGACCAGTCCCCACCCTCAAGGGGTTTATATCTGAAGTGTAGAGTAGAGGCATTTCTGCAATAAACATAACGAAGGAGGAAATGCATGTTTAAAAGGTAGCAACTGTTTAGAGGAAAGAAAAAATCAGGGCAATTTAAGGAGGAACAGTGGTATCAGGTTGTGTGTGTAGGAGTGAACTGAAGTAAGAAATACAATTAGGCTAGACCTCAGAGAGGTGGCTTTGAAGGAGGTGAGGGTGTTAGCCGTGGAAAAATCTAATGGATGGAAGAGCATTCCAGGCAGAGGAACACTAACACAAAGACCTAAAGTAGAAGTGTGTGTGTGTGTGTGTGTGTGTGTGTGTGTGTGTGAGGGGGGCGGGGCACAGGCGGGAAGTTCTAAGAATAGCAAGTAGGTCATTACTGCTAAAACTCAGTTCAGAAAAGAGTGTAGGAGATAAGATCATAGAGTCAAAGATGGCCAAGTTCACATAATCTTTTACTCTGAGTGAAATAGGAAGTCTTTGCAGGATCTGGAACAGAGGCAGGAGATGATCTGAGTGATGGTTTAAAGCCTCACTCTGGCCTCTGAGCTGTAAACAGTCTTTGACGAGGCAAAGAAAGAATGAGGACATGCATGCAGGAATACCACTGTATATCTGGCCCCCAGGATGCCAGAAGCGCTTAGTTACTGAATTAATATGTGAATGAATGGAATATGGACACTGAAGGATAAGATTCAAAGATCCACAGAAGCATGAAGTAATGGGTATATGTATTCAAGCTTTGGGGATCATACACAATGCATTAAGTTTATACAACCATATTGTGTGTGGTTCTATAAATACATATAAATATTTATTGTTTGTCTTCAGTGTGGAAAGCACTTTTAATTTTGACAAATGCCTTAATCTAATTTATGCTACATATATAAAGGTATGCATAGTATAGTATCCATTAATGCCAAGCTCCAAAATGAAGGCTACTTCCATTTCCTAAAAAACAGCACATTAATACTGCCTTCACTGGGTAGGTTTGTTAAAAATTCTGAACTTTATGGAAGAAGTCTGTTCTCAAAAATGTAAAGGTCATGGTTTCAATTCCCAATTAGGTTTGTTACTTTTTAAAACAAGGGAAAGTTTCCACAGCCACAGATTATTTCTCAACCCTTACAAACTCACTTGTAGAGCATTTGTGCAAACAGAATGAAGGCCTAAGAGTGAATCTAGACCAGCCTATGCAGACCCATCTGCGAGAAAAAGGAAGGACAGATGGCATATTGACAGTAGATCCATACATGAAAAGCAGTAGACATTGAAAATGTACTATTTTTAAACATGCAAATATAGTTTCATATTATCAGCTTCAAGATTGGACAATATTAAGGTTAAAAGAAAATGTCTCATTCAGCTAATCATTCAAAATAATTATCAGACCAGCATTAGCAATGCAAATTGAGTAGAACATGGATGTACGTGCTCAATTACATGTGTAACATCTACCTTAAGGAGAGAAAATTTGCTCTTGGATAAGAGAAAAAATAATCTTATATTTCTAATGTATAAAATAAGATATAGAAACAGTTCAGAAGTAGATATAGTCTATCTGTGATATGAACATTTAATGGGATGGGTGATTAGGGAAATATAGGTTGAGTCACATAGTAATTGAAAATATTCAACTTGGCTATGTAAGAAAGCTTTTTTAAAAAAGGTGATATTAGTTTTAATAATGTATTTTAACTCCCAACCAAAATATTATAGTTGACTATGAAATCGATATAAATTGTTGAGATATTTTATGTTTTATATACTGAATCTTTGAAATTCTGAGTATTTTTACTCTTGCAACATTTTCAGTTAGGGCTAGTCAAATGTCAAGTGTCCCATAGACATAGGTGGATAGTGGCTACCATCTGGGATGATGTGGATCTGTGACATATAGTATGCTCTATAGCTCTGTATATCATAGTGCACTGTATAATACATTAGCTACTTCAAAAGTTTAATTACCATTTATCACATTAACTGATCACTTCCTAATTATTTTATTCAATATAAAAACCTAACCTCCAGGAAATAGATTTCTATTTGTAACACAAAAAAGCTAAAACATGGAAAATAATTTTGGTTTTCTTTAAAGAAGAAAAGATTTGTTCTTTGTAAGACGAATTCATAAAATGATTTTTTCAGTTGTATTTCTCATTTAAAAATATACAGAGAAGCACAAAGTCCTAGATCACTGAGACAAATAGCATATAGAGAAAAAAAGAAATAGCATATAGTTATTTGTTTGACATGAACAATTCAGTCCTACTTCTCTGATAAGAGCAAGAATTTTAGACAAGTGAAGTTAAAACAAACATGCTTGAGTTATAAATCAGTGAAAATATTTTGATGTCATTTTCCTGATCACCACGTGATTTTGCCTTAAAGTATTGTGAGCTGAAATGTATTCAGTATTTTCATAAATGATTTCCCAGTTTCTCATGTGCAATTACATAAAACAGACTACATTATTTTTATAGTTATTAACAACATACTGCCAAGAACCACATCAACTTGAATTGTTTGTGCTAGAAAAGTTGATATGAAAGAAAGTGGCAATCCTAATATGTGTTCTACCACTTTACAAATTGGACCTAACAACTCCTTCTTTATTAACTTTATTCCTTCCTTTGCTTTTAGCCATAATATTCCATATGCTTGCAATATTGATAGCGATGGTTATAAAAATTAACAGATTATTATAATTGGGGGCAAGAAAAATAACTCACCTTTGGCAACCTCAATGGTAATTTGCAAATTGGCAACTCATCACGGTTTTCATCGGTCATAAGAAATTGATCCAAATTAGACACTATCTTTTCTTTGGGGATTTTATAAACTACAATGGTGCCCTTATAATGAGGACAGCTATAGTTTCCAAATTCATCCACTTCTTTGATTTGGAGTTCCAGCCTGGGTTTTCTTTGTAAATGAAAAATAATTTTGTAGTCTTTTCCATAATCCTTCCCATTGCCTAAATAAAAGTAAAATGCCTTTATTACTATTAAGATAGATCACTTTTATTAAACAAAGGAACAGATGAAACTAAACCAAAACAAACTTTGGAAACCTGGCTGTGGAATTGAGGCTACAAAAGGGGGGCCGTGGGGGAGGAGAGCAAGAAGGGAAGAGTGTCAGATGGAGTGTGTGCAGGGGTATGGGTGCGTTGGTGGTGGTTGAGGTGTGGGATCATAAATCTGAACAGTTCTGAAACTGTGAACCTATACCCCTCAATCTTATACAGTGTTGTAAACCAATGTTACCTCCATAAAAATACAATTGAAAAAATACATATCATTTTTTAAATTTTTTTTAATTTATGCATACAAGAATGCCATCATTACCAATTAAGCTTTTCTTGTGTCATTCCCTCTTGATAAAGCATGACCAAGAAGACCAGCCATAGGCTGTGACTGTGTAGATAACTACACAGATTTCTCATCTGTAATCTCATCTGTAATCCTGGCTACTTCTAGATCTAATAAGCTTTGATTTTCTTTTTCTAATTCATTTTACTATAACAAGAAACTATTGGAAACATTCAACTCCTTCTGCGCTTAGAAACTTATTTTCACCTTACAATAATTACCTTCTCCTTATACCCTAGCTATACTGTACTCTATTATTAGCTTACAATCAACATTCTAGAAATGCATTCTCCTTTACTAGCCACCAACATGTGATATTTTAAATCAAAGCTAAATTAATTAAAATTAAAATAAAAATTATATCTCAAAAAAATTTTAAGTAGAAATCCAGTCCTTCAGTCACTTTAACCACATTTCAAAAGTTCAATAGTCATATATACCTAGTGACTATAGTCACTATATACCTAGTGACTATATACCTAGTAATCATATATACCTAGTGACTACCTTACTTGACTGTAGATTTAAGAAACAGTCTACCATCACAGGAAATAATGCTATTTTAGAATTTTCAAGTGAAATAATTAATAGATTCATGTTACTGGAATTTCTATTAAAACCTGATGAATCTCCCTTCCCTCCCCCAAAACAATGATATGTCTTCTTAACTGCTCATTGAAAACACTGAATAGAGTTTGAATGAACATTTCACTTTTGGGGAGTTTACCATGACAATCAGAATGAATATACTGCCCATGCAGTAGTAAAACAGACTTGTTTCATGCTCAAATATAGCAGTAAGTCCAGTCTCTATTATTTATACTATAATGTTTATCCCCTTCTTTTAGATCTCTGAGCTTGTCGGAGCTCTTTATCTTTGTTAAACCTCTTTATCTTTAAAACAGGAGAAATAAAACTCAGCTCCTAGGATTGTTCTGGAAATGAAATGAAATAACATGGCTATAATGATTGGCAGAGGGCCTGACACATATTAAGCAATAATAGCAATGATAGTCAATGATAAGTGAAAGGCAGAATTCAAATTTTTTAAATTGGTATAACAAAACAACTGTTAGGGTTTTTTTTTAAAAAAAAGAAATTTCAATGTGAAGCTTTTATATCTAAGTTGCAATTTTCTTCCATTCCTAAAAGCCTGAAAGCTCATTGTCAGTGCTGTCTCTCATGGAAAAGCTGCCATTTTACCTTATGACATAGGACCTCAGGAAGAGATAAGGAAAACATCAAAATTCTCTCCATGTTGTGAATGCTAGAGATAATTTTAGTGAAGTGTTAAATCACAATTAGATCTAGGATTAGAATAACTGTAGGTTATAGAAAGTATAGGAGTATGTCTCTTTGTCCCGGTCTATAGTTGAGAAGCAAACTGGCTAATTTAACAGAGCGAGTTCCTAGGATATCCTAGGAAGGGAATACTAGCTTGGGTTTGCCTTCTTAGGCGTTTTACTCTAGGCCTCCCTGGTGGCGCAGGTGGTTGAATGCCGCACTGTGAAGCTGTCCGCAGCCTCTGCAGCGGGTTCCATCCCGGCCAGGGGGCGAGAATCCCACATGGTGCAGCAGACCTCTCCTGTCTTGCCCGCTGCTCCCCTCAGCAGTGTATTTCGTCAGTCTGCCTGTTCGTTCTCTGCTCTGTCTCTGGTGAATCCTCTCACCCTCCCATGCATCTGGCCTGTACCCCAGTTCTTGTATAAATAAATAAAAAATCTTAAAAAAAATAGAGTTTCATGCTAGTAAAACAAAAATGCAAAGGTAAATTCATACGAGTTGCTGTAATGTCAACTAGTATAGTAATACATTAGGTTTTCTGTATCACTTAAAAACTCCTACTTTTATACCACCAGAGTCCTGGTTAGAAAAACATTACTCCTTTAGTCCCAATAGAATTGGAAAATTTCTCCTTTTATCTTTTTTTTAAAGATTTATTTATTTTTGCATAGAAGAACATAAGAATTTATTTTTGCATAGTAGGCCAGAGGTGTAGGATAAGACAATTCATCAGAGACAGAATGGGGAGCAGAACAGGCACATCCACTGAAATACACTGCTAAGGGGAGTAGCGGGCAAGACAGGAGAGGTCTACTGTGCCATATATGGGTTCGCTCCCTTGCCGGGGATCAAACTCAGGCCATAGTGGTGATAGCACTGATATTTAAACCCTATGCCACCAGGGAGGCCCTCTATTTATGCTCCCTTTCTGGTACAAAATTACTCATAAGGAATAATTTATATATGTGATATATATATAATATGTATTTATGTGTATATATATATATATATATATATATATAAAGATTGAGGTTGGCTAAATTTAGATGTAAAAAATACCTATATTTTATTGCTAATGTTTTTTATAATAAAGATCTGTAATGCAAATGTCTAAATTTTATATTTGCAGTAGGAATGAAATTACTGAAGATTTACTAATAATTAATAGCATAATAGTAATGCTAAAATGGAAAGCATGATATAAATATTTTGAAGTTGAAATTCCATTGTTGCTCATATCTGTATAAATGAATATGGAAATTTAGACATTTCTCCAAGGGTGACTATCTAAATGCATTAATTAAAGTCATAAACTCTTTTAATCAAATAATAATATTAGCTCCTTTCCTATGTATTTGACTTCATTCTTCCAACAAATACTCAGTGTGCTTCATTTCTCTGTCAATCTCTCTCTGGCCATTGACTGGCGATCACCAGCAGGACAGTCTCTCCCCTTGTGAAACAGTAGTCAGAGAAGGTAGCATAGAGCATTAAATCTATGGATCAGTCCTCAGAAGGGATATACATGAGGCTCTGAAAATTTCAAATAAGAATTGATATTACCAGAAAAGATAGGGATGACTTCTCTGAACATGGCCATCAAGATAAAGTTGGGGAGATACAGCAGGAACTAACTGGGGGTGGTGAAAGAAAGATGGGAGACCTCTCGGGGACAGAGCCTCTGATGGCAAGTATTTGAGATTCAGAGACAGCCCAGGCCCTGCTGGAAGGATGAGGTAGCAATTCTTTACTAGTGTTGTGCTCCTCTTGAAAGAAATAACCAGGAGAGACTCCAGATCTGAGCATATGTCTCTAGGAAAAACAAAGCAGAGAGGCTGCTGGCACCCTGCCTGACACATTTCCCTTGAGTGAAGATGAATTGTTCTTCTTTCCTTATGTTGAGGATTGCCCACGCACTGGTTGTTTGGGAGCACTCTTACTTTAACATATGTTCCCCCAGTCCCCAGTATAGGCAACAGTACACTCAGTCCCACCGCCGGCGGGAAGGACAGTAACTCACTCCTGTTTAGGGCAGTTGGTAAACACAGCTGCTGTCTTAAGTATCGCAGGAAAATCATTTGCATCATTAGCTTGGGTGGGACACTTCCAGTCTGTGACTATCTCTCCTTAGAAGGACACCACAGTTTCTGCACCGGAAGGCAAATAGGAAGAGATCTATTCCACCCTTCCTTCCTCTCTCCTTTCCCATCCCTTGCCCCTTTTTCTGACAGCCCCTTTTTCCAGTCACTCACACAGTAAGTCTTGTCACCTGACTGATGTGGCTGAAACACTGCCTGTGAGAGCAAAGGTCACACTTCACAGTAGGGCACTTTGGGTCTCACTTATTTCTTTTTCTTTTCTTTTTTTAAAGATTTATTTATTTATTTATACAAGCACTGGGTACAGTCAGAAGCATGGGAGGGTGAGAGGATTCACCAGAGCCAGAGTGGGGAGTAGAACAGGCAGACTGACGAAATACACTGCTAAGGGGAGCAGCGGGCACGGCAGGAGAGGGCTGCACGCCATGTGGGACCCTCGCCCAGTGGCCGGGGATCGAACCGGCACTTCAGAGGCTGCGGGCAGCTTCGCAGCCCAGCGCTCAAACGCGGCACCACCGGGAAGGCCCCTGGGTCTCACTTATTTCTGAGGCAGATCTCAGTTTCAGGCCATAACAAACAACACAGTGATGGTGCGGCCTGAGGCAAATTTAAGAATCACAGGGAAAAGAGGCATCCTTAAGAATCTGTGGGATCTTTAGCAGTTTCTAAGTAGACAGAATATTAATTACCTCAAGTCAAATCTACAGCAAGACCCTGGCACCAGAAATTCCCCTAAAACCTATCACTGTATTCTCCTCTACAACCCATCTTTACCTGCCTAGCAGTTTAGATGCTGTTCTATCTCAAAGAAAAGAATTATAGATGGAAAGGGCCTGAATAAATAAAAAGAGACAGAAAGAATTGCTATTATGGGAGTTCCCCCAAAGATATTTTTCTCTTCTCTCTCATACAGCTGTTGTCCTTGCATGTTCTCCCTTTGTACTCTTACCCACTTTCTCTTTCCCTTCATCTCCTTCCTCTTCTATCTGATGCATTACCTCACTTCTCTGCCTTACCCGCCATTGTCATATTCACTCATCTTTTTTTTTAAAGATTTATTTATTTATGCATATAAGAACTGGGGTACAGACCAGAGGTGTAGGGCATGAGAAGATTCACCAGAGACAAGAGTGGGGAAGAGAACAGACAGACTGACTGGAATATACTGCTGAGGGGAGCAGCGGGCAAGCCAGAAGTCTGCTGCACCATGTGAGTAGCTCCCTGGTCGGGGATTGAACTCGTGCTGCAGTGGCTTCGAGTTGTGTCTTAAACTCCTTTCACCACCAAGAAGGCCCTATTAGCTCATCTTGCTTGTTTTTCTCATCAGCACTATTCATCCAGTCACTATATATTTATAGAAAACCTTTGGTACATCAGACACAATGCCAGGTTCAGAGGTATGGAGCAAGAAATACCTTGGCATTGCCCTCATCCAGTTTACACTCCAGTGAAGAACAAAAGATAAGCACATGAATGAAAAGTAAATAAATAAGTGAAACAATGCCAAATTATGGTAACTTTTATAATAGAAAGAAAAACACTCAAGGAATTGGAAGATGAGAGGTAAGCGAGTGTGTGACATACAACGAAAGGTGTTTCACTCCTTGTGCACCATGGGCCTTTTTGGAGTTTGCTAAAAACTATCAATTATTTTTCAGAGCAATCTTTTATTTTTTTTAAACTTTTTTTTTTTAAAGATTTATTTATTTATTTATACAAGCACTGGGTACAGTCAGAAGCACAGGAGGGTGAGAGAATTCACCAGAGTCAGAGCAGGGAACAGAACAGGCAGAGTGATGAAATACACTGCTGAGGGGAGCAGCGGGCATGGCAGGAGAGGTCTATCGCATCATGCGGGACCCTCTCCGGTGGCCGGGGATCAAACCGGCGCTGCAGAGGCTTGGGCAGCTTCGCAGCCCAGCGCTCAACTGCTGAGCCACCAGGGGAGGCCCAGTCTTTTAAATATATAAATAAAATGCAGAGATGTGCCAATAAGCTAATTACATTGGGATATTATTAAATCACACATCTTGGAAAGTTTAGTGACCTCAGTGTAAATTCTCTGTAAGACATCATAAAGAGTTTGGATATTATTTTAAATAAGCTGTAAGGACAAAGTTTTAATCGGGGTAATAAAGCATGATTTATCTATTTAAAAGATCACTGTTGTTACTACATGAAATTAGCAAAGCAGAGGAGTATTTAGAAGGAAATTACATTGGTGCAGAAGAGAGATGATCTTAGCTTGGATTTAGTAATTATGGAGAAGCCCATGTCCAAAAGAGTGTCGCTTAGAGTCTCCCACAAGGGAACATGCATTGTCTAAGTAGAAAAGGAAGAGAGTGGATAGGAAAAAGGAAATAAATCTTTTTTCTTCCTGGGCCTCCCTGTTGGTGCAGGCGGTTGAGCGCTGCACTGTGAAGCTGTCCGCAGCCTCTGCAGCGCAGGTTCAATCCCGGCCGGCCCGCGAGAATCCCACATGGCACAGCAGACCTCTCCTGCTGTGCCTGCCGCTCCCCAGAGCAGTGTACTTCATTAGTCTGCCTGTTCTGTTCCCCGCTCTGTCTCTGGTGAATCTGCTCACCCTCCCCTGCATCTGGCCTGCACCCCAGTTGTATAAAAATAAATAAATCTTTTTTTAAAAAAGTCTTTTTTCTTCCTATTTTAAAAGCCTCCCCTCTGTCCCCTGAAGGTTTCCATAGCAATACAAGTTTAGAAAACTTCTCATAAAGTTTATACTTAAAGTTCAGAGGATATGCAGAAATATTTATTTAGACTTACTTGAAGCAAATATGTTTCCAGTAAACCTCAAAAGAAGTTGTTCTCCTTCTTTCACTGGGAAATGTCGAGATGGCTCCGGAGGGCCACTGAGCCCTTCTGAGCGCAAGTTCTTCAGCACCTGGTTTAGGTCTTTAGACGGCACCACTAAAACGACTATTCGGTGTGGATTGTCTTTCTGGTGATACAGCACAATACAGGCGGTTGTGCTGAGCAGGGCTGCCTCTAAAGATTTCACAAAAGACACCAAATGGCTGTTGTCCACAACGGAAGAGAGCTGAAGCACAATAAACCTGCATTGGAGGAAAGGGATGAGATCTGAAGGAAACAGACATGGCCTCAATAATATCACTAGAACCAATAACACCCAAGAAAAGAGGCATTGTCAAGAGCCACTGTCATCGAGAGACTTCCTTTAAAATCAAGCATTCTGATAACCAATTGGCTAGATCCATAAAAAGGACTTTATGGAAACTCTGGACAGTCAGGAAATCAGCTGAAATCAAGCCAAATCGTAAATTATAAGTCCTGAAATAAGATATTGTCCAGTCTCACAGCTCGGCTTTAAATATGGCAGCAGAGGCATGGTTGAAATTTTATTTAATTAGCATTTCCAAAGAATATTCAAAATGTAGAAGAGAAAGATGATTAAGTTAATTAATTCAGTACCAAAAGACACAGAATACAGATATGACAATTAAGTGAGGACAGAAGTATTCACCTCTGTCACAGCATGGTAAGGATCATTATGATGAATTTGTTATGGGTTGTGTTATATCCCCTCTCCCCAAATTCATATGTTGAAGTTTTAACCACTGTATCTCAGAATTGACCTGATTTGGAATAAGTTCTTCAGAAGTAATCAAATTAACCTGAGGTCATTAGAGTACACCCTACTTGACTATGTCTGGTGCCATATTCTAAAAAGCTGGAAATTTGGACACATAAACCCACATACAGAAATGATTCCATGTTAAATAAAGACAAACATCTTAATCCAAGGAGGCAGACTTAGAACAGATCCTTCCCTCACAACCCTCGAAGGAATGAACTTTGCTAGCACCTTGATTTTGGACTTCTAGCCTTGGAAAATTGTGACAGTACAATTTTTTGGTTTAAGCCACCTGGTTTGTGATATTTTATTGACAGTCTAGCAAAATAATATAGACCCCTATCCCTGGACCAGACCACCTATCACCCAGCAATTCCAGAGATTTGCCCTATAGGGCCCCCTCATCCAGAACATCCCTGCACCCACATAAAAAGATTGATGGATGAGTTTGAGGCCAGTCTCCTAGGATTCTCCTGTGGTATCAGACTGAGGTAAAACTTCAGGTGAAACCATAGTTGTTCTCATCTTCCTCCCTTACCCTATAGATATTTTTTCATTCCTTATAGGCTTCACCTGAGAATCTCCCACAATAAATCATTTGCATTCTCATCTTAAACTCTGCTGTTGGGGCAAATGACCCAAAACAAGTGTGCATGTAAGACATTCCATTATGAAATAAAGTGTGTCTTTAGACATACAATTGCTTGCTCTTTCTGAGTGTCTATTGCTCATGAACCTTAAAACTGTCTAAAACTTTACTTATAATGAGCTGTCTAGAAAACATGGAAATGAGAAAGCAAGATGAGGACACTGAAATAACATATTCAGTTTGTGTGTGTCTATATATAGCTATGTGATAAGCATAATATGAACCTTTAATTACTCTTTCATGGAATTTCAGAAATGAAGGCGCCATTTTAAAACTGTTTTAGAGTTAGAATAAAGCTTGTAAGAATAAATCTAAGTTATGATTGGTATCCAAAAGCCCTTATTAAACTATCATGAATGAAATCACAAATAGTATAGTCATGCCAATTCTGGTTTGCATTTTAAGTACACCCCAAAGGCCTCTTCACATTCCCATTTGAAAAATAAAAATCTAATCCTATGATTCCATATCTGTAACAGCTATTATGGACCATTAGGGAAAATATCATCAACTTTTATTGTTTAATATGTATTACCTTTCTAAATGCTCACACAATTCAAATGATATCAAGCCACTCTGCATGGTTCTCACCACAACATTATCAAGTCCAAACCAGCCACTGTCTCGGCTCCTGAATCCTAGTAATTTCAAAGATTCACCGACATTGTTCCCAGGTTTTCTTAGGGAAGCACTTTTGGTCCTATAGAATGGTAGCACAAGAGAAATTTGTAAAATATGCATGGCATCAGTCATGTTTAGTGCATTCATCCTTTCATTAAGTAATGCAGTAGTAATAGTTCATCAAGTATATACCACGTGCCAGTAATATTGCTGCAGTGCAGAAATACAAAGATAAGGAATATACTGCCCTGTACAGAAGTTCATGGCATTACAGTATTATCCAAAGACAGGACAAGGAGGTCAGGGTGATAACTCTCCAAAGAATTTTTTTATAAAATCAATGTAAATGTAGAATCTGTGACAAATGTGGAAGCTGGTAACCAGAGATGCACATTATTGGTCTCAGGATTCATGCCTGTGTGCCACTCTCCTACAGTGATCCAGAGCCAGTCCATGATTGAATTTTTTTTTTTTTTTTTTTTTTTTTGTGAGACCCTGCTGTCAGGGAACTAACCCACGCTGCAGAGGCTGTGGGTAGCCTTACAGCCCAGTGCTCAACAGCTGCGCCACCAGGGGAGGCCCCATGATTCATTTTAACCCATAGAATGCTGAAGACATGGAAATCTGATCATTCCAGATAAGAGTTAAGCAAGCTTGCAGCCTCTGCTTTGTTCTTTTGGAAAATCTCAGGCCCTGGTGGTTTTGCATATCTGTTCTATCATACTTTCAAGGAAGAAATCATTTCAAGTTTGAGCAAATTTTCAGATAATGCAAAAAGGATTTTGCTAAATTCATTCTATGAAGTGAGATAAAGTCTTCAATTTGTTAAAAGGCAATTACAGGCTGACCTCACTGGTGAATTTAGAAACAAGAATACTAATCAAGTATGAATTAGTACACCAATTTTAATAGCCAATTAAAATACTGCATCATCATTAAATTAAGTTTATTGGGCCTCTCTGGTGGTGCAGTGGGTTGAGTGCAGTGCTGGGAAGCTGTCCGCAGCCTCTACAGCATGTGTCTGATTCCCAGCCAGCCAGGGAGATATCCACATAACCGGCGGACCTCTCCTGTCTTGCCCACTGCTCCCATCAGCAGTGTATTTCAGTGGATCTGCCTGTTCTGCTCCCCGCTCTGTCTCTGGTGAATTCTCTCACCCTCCTGTGTCTCTGGCCTGTACTCCAGGTCCTGTATAAATAAATAAAAAATCTTAAAAAAAATTTAAAAAAATGTAAGTTTATCAGGGATTTGAATGGTGCTTTAGCATTAGAAAAGCTATACTTTTCTATATAAAGTTATACTTTATATAATTCACCACATCAAGATAAATTAAAGTGGATTCATATGACATCTCAATAGATGCATGAAACATTTTAAAGTGAAACAACCCATTTTTTTATTGTTTTTATTTGTTGTTGTGTTGTATAAGTTTTTTGTAGTTCATGGAATTAGTCCCTTATCAGACACATGATGTGCTAATATTGTTTCCTATTCAGTAGGGCATTTCTTTCATTTTAATGATAGTTTCTTTTGCTGTGCAAAAGCTTTTTGTTTTGGTCCTGTTTGTCAATTTTTGCTTTTGGTTCCCTTGGAGTTGTGTCCCCAAAGACATAGCTGAAGCCAATGTTGTGAAGTATTTTGCAAATGATTTCTTGTATATATTTTTATGGGTTTCAGATCACGCATCTTTAATCTGTTTTGAGTTAATTTTTGTGTATGGGGTGAGATAGTGGTTTAATTTCATTCTTTTTCTTGTGACTGTCCAGTTTTCCCAGTACCTTTCATTTTTAAGACTTTCCTTTCTCCACATATTCTTCTTGGTAGCTTTGTCATAGGTTAAATGTCCATGATAAGTGTGGATTGACTTCTGGGTTCTCAAATCTATTCCATTGGTCTCTGTGACTACTCTTAGTCCAGTACCACAGTGTTTCGATTACTATAGCTTCATAGTATAATTGAAACCTGGGCATGTTATTCCTTAGTTCTTTCTTTCTAGTTGGGATTGCTTTGGCTATTCAGGATTGTGTTAAGTTTTTTTTTTTTTTTGTTGCTGTTGTTAAATGAAAATGAAGCCAACTCCCTTAAGCTAAAAAGATGTCTAAAAAATCCTACAGCAATATCCTTAAAAGTGAATATTAGAAGTATTTTTTAAAAACAAAAAAAAGACAAGAATAATCATTATTATCAGTTGTACTATTAACACACCAGAGATCCTATTCAATACAGAAAGAAAATATTAAGAACATGATGACTAGGAAGGAACATAAAACTACCATTCTTGAAATGGATAAGAGTTTCATAAAAAATTTGATTGAATTTTCAGAAAAAAATAAAAATAATGAGAGTTTAGAAAGGTGACTGATTTCCATACCATTATAGAAAATTCTACTGTATTTATTTCCCCAGCAAACATAGAACAAAAATTTTAAATGCCATTTATAATGGCAGCCAAAACTACCTCACATCTACAAATAAACCTAGCAAATATGTAGTACACATTTTTGAAATATTTATAACACTTCACTAGAAGACATTAGTAAACTAAATAGATGCACATATTATGGAAGTAAATTAAATGTCTCCATATGGTAATGATGGCATTTTTTCCAAATTGACATATAGCTCATAAGCAATTATTACTAAAATCCCAATAGTGTTTGTTCTTGTGGAAGTTGACAAACTTTATTTTTTATATGAATGAGAAATTTTCAAGACATAAAAACATCCATGAAGAGGGAGAGAATATGGTTAGAGACTTAATTACCAGTTATAAAAATTATTATATTATAAAACTAATTATTAAGTTAATGTTAGATTGGCTCAAAATAAGGGGGAAAGAATGACAAATTAAACAGAATAAAGAGCCCAGCAGAAGGAAATTTGGTGTATAAGAGTGGAGGCATTGTAGATGATTGAGGGGAGAAAGAACCGTTGAAAAAATGATGCTGATAAATGTTTTCCACATGGAAAAGAATTAAATTCTACTTCACACTGTCTGAAAATGTCAATTTATGATGGATTGAAGACTTACATGAAACTCAAACCTTTAAAATTATATAATAAAAAGATATTTTTATAATTTCAAAAGATGTATTTGTGACAAAGATCAAAAGCATTAATTATAAAATAAAATGTGATGAATTTGGATCAAAAAAATGAAAATGCAAGTCACAAACTGTTGAAATAGTAGCACTGAGAATATAAGAAATTCTATTCATGTAGAAAATTTAAAGTGAGCAAAGGAATTAATAGACATTTCACACATCAGAAATTACAATTGTCTAACAAAAGAGATGAAAGATGTCGGTTTCACTGTCATCAGAATGTTGGAGATTAAAACTACATGAGATCCAACTTGCATCTATTAGATATTCAAAGTTACACAATCTGACAATATGCAAGACTGGAGAAGATGAGCAGCAGCAGTGGGGGATTATATTTAGTTTATCTTAAGTTTTCTCTTTAATGTCACCGAGTTGAATTTTGTTTCCTGTTATCTCTTTGCCATATTATTTTTGCATTTTTTTCCTTTTGTTTTTGCTTTTATGTTACTTATGCTTGATGCTAGACTTTAACAATAAGAAAATCACACATATTCATATTATCCATCATCCCACTAATTAGACATCTAGGTGAGTGCTCTAAAGGACTACATGCACAGGGCCTCCCTGGTGGTACAAAGGGTTAAGATGCAAACTATGAAGCTATCTGCCGCCACTGCAGCAAGATTTTAATCCCTGGCTAGGGAGCTTCCCACATGGTACAGCATACCTCTCCTGACTTGCCCGCTGCTCCCCTCAGCAGTGAATTTCAGTCAGTCTTCCTGTTCTGTTCCCCACTCTGTCTCTGGTGAATAGTCTCACCCCTCACACCTCTGGCCTGTTACCCAGTTCTTATATGCATAAATAAATGAATATTAAAAAAAAAACACTTGCATAAATATTCTTAGTCAAGAATGGCCCTAGTAGTACTATTTGTAATAGCTAAAAAATAAAAGTATTTTTTCATTAACAGGAAATTCCATTAACAGGAAAATGGCTAAATAAAATATGTAGTTGTACAACAGAACATTATGTAGAAGTGAAAATGAGCATATACAACGATAAATGAAAAAACAAGAAAATGAAACTCTGTACAACTTTTATAAACTTCAAACAGATATAACAAAACAAGCTATTGGATAGAGATAAATCAAATGTATATGATAAAACTAAAAAATAAAATCAAAGGAATGATTCAGAATTTATAAATAGCTGCGAACTTGTGTTGATGAGGCCTAGTTATAGTAGAGTCAGGAAATGGGATGGGGAAGAGCAAGCAAGCAGATGCAATTATATTCATAATATTCAGTTTCTTAAGTTATATGGGTATTTTTCAAACATCTTTGCATATGATTCACAGTTTATATTTGAGCAACATAATCATAAAACCAAAGTATTATATAGGCAATGTCATTTTCATGGGCAAAAATATATTACCATATTTCGTGTATAATATGGGACTTCCTGGGGTTAAAGTCTCAGCACTATGAAGCTATCACCGGCCACTGAAGCATCAGTTCGCTCCCTGGCCAGGGAGGTGACCCACATGGCACAGCAGACCTCTCCTGTCTCGCCTGCTGCTCCCCTCAGCAGTGTATTTCAGTAGATCTGCCTGTTCTGCTCCCCACTCTGTCTCTAGTGAATCTTCTCACTTCCCACCTCTGTCCTACACCCCAGTTCTTGTACGCATAAATAAATAAATCTTTTTTAAAAATAAACTATTTCTTGTATAATATAAGTCTAACTCATAAATTAATATCCAGTTTCACTATTGTCAAGAAACCATTTCTGGCTTAGAATTAATGGCTCTCATCTTTTTCAATAATCACTCAGATAAAAAGGAATGTCATGTAATAAAGATCTTTTATTCTTTATATGCAGACTATGCTCTGACCTCAAATAGTTTTTGTCTTTTTATTTAATGACTCATGGATTGCTTCATTGTGTTTCTATTTCCATAGAAAATGCTCAACTGACTTTCATTCTTTAATGAAAGAATGTAAATAAACAGTTGATAAAGGTTCTCGTTTGATTGTTTTATGTTCCACTAGATGGAGAAATTGTATCTGTCATCTGTGGCACAAAACAAAAGATCATATTATATTATATCAAGTTAGCATTGTCAAAAATGGAGGAATTAATACAAGTATAGATCAACACCTCATTGTTTTAATGCACTTAACATTTTTTGAATATCTACTGTGTTGTAATTGTGCTGACTGATGATAAGTGAGAAAAAGAATATAATCCTATTGCAGTACAATATGGGATGTGCACAAAGACTTGGGCTGGCACAGAGAGAGGAGCAGTCAATCCCTCCTGGAGATCTTAGAATGTCTTGACATAAAAACAAAGAGTTGAGCTGCCACTTGAAGAATGGCAAGAGTTCTTCAGCTAAACAAGGTAAAAAAAAAAAAAAAAAAGGATTTCATAGCAGAGAAATCATGTTCTAAGGCAAAGAATTGGAGGAGTAAAAAGAAATTGCCACTTTGGTCAATTGAATCCATGACAAATGACCATCTTCTCTCAACTTAGGAATGAGAGGCACAATGTCATAGGCGTGCATGCACATTTTAGATGAACTGAAGATTGGAAAGAAAATCCAATCTGTAAAAAATCTGTAAAAAGTAAAAAGTCAAACGTTACAATTCTCTTCCCTCCCTAAGGTGTATAAGGAGTTGATTCTATGAACACCCCTACCTTTTTTAGGTTCTTCCACCACCACACACACCATACCAGGTGTGTGGGAGTTGGAGCTTAGTATGTGTTCAGGGACAACAGCTCCAGTCTCCAGCTGTTGGCTGACACTGAGTCAGAAACCTGAAATTCCCAAAGGGCAGCACTGGCCACAAAAGGGGAGGCAACAAAAACAATCGAATGTTTTCTGAACATTGACTCAAGAATGGGACATAGAAGCAAACAAAAGCCACTCTGGGTAAGAAGGGGTGGGGAGATGGGGTGGGTGGTGGTGGATGAGCTTATCTGATGAAAAATTATAATCAATAGTTAGAAATAAATTCATTGAACAAAATTAGTTGTGATGGACAGTGTACTAGATTACACTATGCTAACAGATAGTGAAAATCATGCTAAAATGAAGAACTGATAGAATGGTCTTAATGAAGCATTAAAATAAAAGTGTTTATGATAAGAAAGCAAATTGAAAACAATAACAGCTTGGAAAAAATTTTTAAAATATAGTGATAGTCTGTTGGAAATGAGAGATAATTGATTGAATAGTTTATACAACTAATTGGAACACTCATAAGATGTTTTATAAATCTAAGGGAGCTGCCCCAAATACAGGCTATAAATTATTTAAAAGTACAGAAAAATTAAAATTAAGTTGTAACATAGTATAAAAGATGTTTAGTCCATTTATATTTGTTGACCTATTGATTATTTTATTTGTAGCATCATAAGTTTTCTGTTTAATGACACCAGGGTCTTTTTTGGTTGGTTTTCTTTCTGTTATCTCTTGGCCACATTACTTTTTCCCTCTTTTTGCTTTTATATTATTTACCTTCAGACCCAGATTTTAATCATGACAATAAAGCTTACCTATTCCTAGTCTCCTAAGTTTTACTCCATCAAGTTAGCTCATTAATATTATCTATTTATACTGTTAAGAACATATGAATATTACATTTTGTGAGCATGTACATTGAAAAACAAACATCTTTGCCAAATGAAAATCTAATTTCATAACAACTTCCCTTCAAAAGCTTGAAGGTTTTAGTTCATTTCCTCCCTTGAAGTTGGTTAGACTGATTTTTTTTTCCATTTACTTAATCTGCTTCTCCTGAATGGGTGTATATAGATTTATATTTATTTAAACCTATATTTCAATTTGCTATGTTACATCGAAGTATGGTATGTTTTTACATAAATTTTGTCTAATTATCATGTTTTCTAACTCAAGATTTTAATATCAGAAATTTAAATTCAACTATGCCTTTGATACTTCTTTTAATGTTGTATTGGTATCTTCTATGGTGCCTATAATTATTGGATTACATCATGTCAAATGATTCCTTATGATAGCTTTGTCCCTTTTCTTTTTTTTAAGATTTATTTATTTATGCATACCATAACACACTGCTGAGGGGAGCAGCAGGTGGGTCAGGAGAGGTCTACTGTGCCATGTGGGTCACCTCCCTGGCTGGGGATTGAACTAGCACTGCAGTGGCTGCAGGTAGCTTCATAGTGCTGTGCACCACCAGGGAGGCCCCAGCTTCATCCCTTTTCATTTCAGTGTGATTTTTTTGCATCTCATTCTGCTGTGCTTTCATCTGTTTCTGGTATATCCTGAGTCTCTCTGTTTCTTAGAAATTATACTTAATGGATAAAGCTAAACTTACACAATGTATTTATGTAATATTCTCCGTTAACTATAAGTTTTTCATTCAGATTACTCTGAGATACTATGATCATGTTCTCTTTGCTTACTTGTATATTTTTTTGTTTTTCTTTTGAAATCTTGGTGTTGATTGGTATTCACATTTTTTTCTCCTAAGACACCATGTAGGGTTTGGATTTCTTCTTATGCATGAGTAAATGTTCATCCACCCATTTTTTAGTTTCTTAGACATTTGAATCTCTTATATCTAGAACACAGGTACAAGTACATAATTTCTAAAGCAATTTTCAGTGTCTAGTCATTTTTATAGTGTAATTCCTCTGGAGACAGTGTAAGCTCCTACCTGTGCTACCTGAATTTTCAATGGTTTAAACCACTGAGTGCATGAAAATGTGCTACCCTGTGCATGCATTTCTATCAGAGCTCTTATCACTTCTACCTTTAGCCCTTAATACTGGGAATTTCATCTCTGTCAATGCGATATGTTGCTTCCAATTTCTCTCTACAGTCTGCCTTATGGTTGCTGAGGGATGTGGGAATATAGCAGAGGAGGGGCAAAGGAACACTGGTTTTATCAATTCCAAATATGATATCTGTGGATTACAGGGATAAATTTATATTCTCGTTGGTATATATAAACTATGGTATCAGATCACAGGGGAAAGGAAAATTGTTTTTCCTATTTTCTTTCTGGCAAGTGGAGCTGCCTTACGATATAAAATTCATGTCAATCACAAATTATTTTTATTAACCCTTTGCCATCTAGCCTACAAACAGTAGGAATATTTAGCAGAGTGTAGCAATAGATTGCCAATCAGCATCAATTTTTAGGATGGCTTCTGTTCTCATCTTTATATATCTATCTATATAGATGTTTTAGGGGATAACTGAAAGAGAATATGCCTTATTTGACTAGAATAATGCATTTTAAATTGGAAGCCCCAGATATTTCAGGCTTTAAATCTTGCTTTGCTTTGATAAATGGAAAAATGAATTAACTAAATTGTCACTTGGGATATATATATATGTATATATATATATATATATATGTATATATATATATATAAATTTCAAAAGTATATATAACTGGATCGTGTCTATTTTTCTAGGTTCTCTCTCACTTATCTAACATGAGAGAAAGTTTGAGTTCTCCTCCCAATCACAACCCAAAATTCTTCTATTGCCAGCTCCTAAATTGCAAGTATAGTGAGAAAGAGAAAATAATCCTCTTAATTTCTGGCCTTGAAGCCTGAGACTAAATAAATGATGGTGATACAGAATCATGATTAGCAACAGAGTTACATGAGTCCAGACCAAGGTCATACCACCTGCTAGGTATAGTTGTTATCTCAATCAGTTTGAGTCTTTCAGCTGATAAAATGAAGGAAGAATGGGGCTGGGGAGCCGGGTGAGATAATATACCTAAGGAGCCTAGCAAGTGGTAGCTTCTCCATTAATAGTAGTTATTTCAAATAAGTGTCTGAAATTGTTTCTCTCTCTACTGATTTTTAAAAGCAAAATAATTTCCCTTCAGAACCAAAGAATAGAAAGTTTCCCTTCTACCTTTTTCATTAGAAAAAGAAAATAAGTATAAAATAAGAGGACAGGAATTAAGACCCAGGTTACTATTATTTGATGCATTCTACCTGTTTGTTAGTGTTTCATTTTTTCATTTCATATTTACTATGTGCTGTGCACTGTTCTAAGCACCTTACATACAAAATGGTTCATGTGCATTTTGAAAATTGTTTGTAAGCATTTAATTTCTTGTGACACTTCTGGCTGGCAACTCAGTATGCACACTTATCTCATTGGTAAGGATTTTGTATAATTATGAAGATTAAGAAAGAAAGGAATCTACCCTGTTGTCAATAAGGAACTCTAATTTGTGTTGGGAAAGACCAGGTCACTCTTATACCCACACAAACAAAAGACTTTTAAGTATAGAAATAAAAACCACCTTACCATACCTTCTAATTAAACATAAATTCTTTGAAAGCCTGGATTAATTTTACCTCTTTTGTATCATTCTTACCATATAGCATACATTTGGGCCCACTAACAAAGAAAATCATTAACTTTTTTGGATTCACAACATTTTATTTCTATCTCAAAGATATTTCTTAACATTTCAATATGGTTATTTAACTACATTCTTTAATCATTTATGTTCTTTTTTTTTAACCACCATGTGAGCATATTGGGATTAACTCACCAGTTGAGGTATAAAGGTATGATCCTGTTTGTGGTGGCACTAGCTGTTCTTTTATGATCTGTCTCAGGCCCAAGATTCTTTTTATCAGGGTGTTGAGAGCAAGGCAGGAAGATGGTGACTGGTTTCTGGAAAGGATGCGTTGATGGATGCTGAATATGCATCAGAGGGCTCGTGGCTAATACCAGGTAGGAAGTATCTTGCTGTGTTTTTAAACATGTCACCAGAGATGGTTCTATTGGTTGGACCTCAACAAAGAGAAAAAAATCTGTATATCGTTAAAGAGCAAAAGATGCAAAGTATCAGCAGATTTCTAAAGCCAATTTTCTGAAAATTTGATAGAACATAGTTTTATATATTTCTCTATACATCATTACCTTGAATCGACACTGTATTGATTTATAAAAGAACACAGCATTTAGTTCCCTTTTATAAAGTCTCTCTGAAATCTAGGCTCCCTGTCCTATGTTATAAATAACTGAGAAACACTTTTAATTGTAGGCAACAAAATGACCTAGAAAACAAAATAGACATTTTACATAATTTCTAATTAGAACTATTGTTAGATCAAGTGATCTTTAGAATGAGAAAAACAAAATTATATTTACTTAAATATTTCCTCTCACAATGTTTAACAATAAAAACAAATAATTCAAAAATCTCTAACTTTATAGAATAATTTATTGAATAAATTATTTAGAGCATCTTTTCATTTTAGCTTTTCTACCAACACTTATTACTTATGGTAACAACTGGAAGAAAGAGGAGAGCATGGGGAAGAATTGAAGCTAGGAAGACAAAATATTTGAGGAAATAAATCTTTGTAAATGTACACTGGCATGTCATTATATACCTCATAAACAGCATTTGTACATGTTATTCTATAAAGGGGCTATTCTATGATATAGTATAACCAAATATCCATAATCATTAATAATTTAACTGATCAGCCTCTTTTTGACATTCTCTCAAATGAAAATCTTGAATCACATCTATGTATGTATATCTGGCATCAGTTCTATTATAGATACTCAACATATTTTTGCTAACAAATATTATATACAAAACATGGTAAAAATTAGCTATGATAGTCTTTAAATAAAGACTAAACTTTAAATAAATAACTTAAAGCAAGGATTTTAATGTTATAGCATGTTCCAAATCATCACTTTATCACTAATAATACTGTATGTTAGGTTATTAAAATGTAAGAGAAAAATTCACTTATTGTTATACAGTATTAAACATTCATAATATCTTCATTCTTTAGGATCCTGACCCACAAACTCTATAAGAAAGAACTCACCGGTTTTTAATATTTACCTTTAATTGCACAAGCACTGGTGAGCTGAAAACCCCTGGAGGGTAATTTAAGGATATTCGAGAATCCATGCTTGGCTTAAGCGTAAGACCTTTCTTTGTTATTGTGAAGGTCTCTTTCTTCAAACAAGACACAACAGAAAAGATACCCAACTTGTAAACTTTCACTTCTGCACAGGTCCCCTGTATGGATTGAAGGACATTAAAACAGGACATTAATCTGTTCTGGGGGAATATGCTGTGCATACTCTGTGGCTATAAAAAATAAAAAAAATCCGTATGCCATCCCTGGCATTTCCCACAAGTGAGAATGATTCCATTAGCCCCAAATGGGCGATCCTTTCATGAGTTGAAGTAAACTAGAGAATTAGGAGTTTTTTCAAATTTGGATAACATGATAAAAAAAAGAAAAAAGTGCATTTTAAATTTAAATTGATTTCTTAAAAAGTGTATCTATAATGGATGATCACATTCAGCATTTTCATAAATATTACTGTTTCTGGAAGCCCAGCCTCCTTTTGTCAGACTGAATTTTCTAGATTGGCCATTATCCAGATAGCACAAACTGTTTCAGGGAACTCCAAGATATGAAATTTCATCATGTAGATAGTTTATGCAAATGCTGTAGCACCTGTACTGTCAGTAAATCCTTCCTCCTGACAACTCACAATCTTTTAGCAAAGTCCTTTTGTCTATTTCTCTCTTCCATGTGCGAGCAAACGATTGCAGAGAGGTATATTTGTGTTTCTTTTTTATACAGTGACATTTAAATTACATGTGTATAGGCAGAGACATAGTCAAGCATTTTCCTCACATAAAAAGGAGCTGAGTACATAAATGAAAACAACATTATCTACTCATATAATCGCCAAAGCTTAAAATGAGAAGGAAGACTTAAAAGAAATTTGCTTTATTCATGTTTTCCTGGATACCAACCCAGCTCCGCCCCAGCCTGAGTGCATAATCATGAAGACACACAAACATTTAGGGACAATCACAATAGAAAATAATCTAGCATTTGAAAACTAAGAGATTTCACAATATCACTGCGTGAATCTATTGCTGGGAAAATGCAGGGCATGATGAATGTTTCTAATTGGCTAGAGGGAAAATGATGAGAGGTGAGAAAGAAAGGTCTTCTGGGAACCAGTTACTGTTGCTAAGCATTTACAGCGTTCTTGGCAGAGACTGGGAGAGCGGAAGGGGCTTAGAGCAGAGGAGTGTCATGAACAGAACTTTGAGGATAGTTTATCTGACTCCAGAATTAGAATTCTTAAATGTCATATAAACCACATAAAAATTTGGAAGGAATCCAGAGTCTGAATATTCTTGAGCTAAAAATAGGGGTAACTATCATTAGAATACTATAAAGAGAAAAGGATATGCTTTTACTTTTTCTGGTAGATGATGGTTCTTTTATATTTTTCCCTTTTGCTTTGATTATCTGTTTGCTAAACACCCCTGGCCCAGATGGTGAAAAAGCACAGAGCTAGTAGTTTTTGTTTTTATTATGAAGGCAATCACATAAATGGGCCATGATTAAAAAACCCACAATCAAGGGAAATACTGACCAGAATATTTATAGACTTACAGGTTTCCTAGACTAAATTTTAGAAAAAGTATTATTTGCATGAATTGGAGTAAAAATTGGCTGAGCTTTCACATTCAACTGCATAACTTTGTAACTTTGAAAAGAGAAAAATCCAAGAACGAAGACATGTGTTTTAAAGATTTTCTTGTATGCTGAAAAATTTTTTTTATTTGTATTTCTCTGCCTTCATCTCAAATAATGTCAACTTTCATAAAGGTGAAAAAACATGTATGATAATTGTTTAAAAATGAGTTCAGTGACACACAAACAAATCTTAAGCCTTAGCTCCCATCAACTCTATACTAAGTTTAATAATTGTATATGTTGCTTAACATGAGTTTGTGACCATAGAAGTTACTACAGTAAAGTCTACTATGAAAACTTAATTTAGTAACAAGTATTGCATTTACATAGGCTTACTTTTGTCTTCTTCAGTATATTTTCTCATTTAATCATTATGATCCTGTGAGATCACAGAAAACAACACACTGGTCCTCCCTTGCTGTGGTTAATCTTTCTGCACTTTCAGTTACTCATGGTCAAGAATGGTCTGAAAATATGTGTGGTATTTTGAGACAGAGACCACATTCATGTAACTTTTTCTACATTAAAATGTTAAAATTGTCCTTTTGTATTATTTTTTATTGTTAATCTCTCACTGTGGCTAATTTATAAATTAAGTTTTATCATATGTATGTAGGTATAGGAAATAACAGTACATGGGTTCGGCAGTAATGTGGTTTCAGGCATCCACTGGTGGTCTTGGAATGTACCACCCCCCAAAAAATCAGAGGAAACTATTGTATTGTGTTTACTTTCCAGATAAACTGTCACAGCACAGTTACATAATTTATTCAAGTTCACATTGCAAGAAAGCATGGGAACCAGATAACAAACCCAGCTAATCTTTCTCTGCAAAGAACATCCTAGCTACCACTATGCTATTATACATGTTATAGACTAAACACAATTTATAGGTTTAATAAGTATCTCAAGGTATACACACACACTTGTTCTTTTTTTAATGAATTTTTCCAACTCATAAATGGTAAAAACAAAGCTGCTTTCATCTGGGGATTCTAACTTTCTTAAATTTGGATAGAATCCCACCACATTGGAAATGTTAGTGTAAAGCTAGTCCAGGACATGAAACTAATTAAGTCAGACTGTTGGTTTTGTTTCCCAAATGAAAATATAACATTCATTGTCCTAGACCCAAGTCCTTCATTTCTAACTTTGGTCAATAATTTTTGTTCTTTGATTTTATGGACAGCAAAGGAAAAAATCATGAAAGCACTGGCATAAATCTGTCAACCCTTCCACTTGTTACAAATGGAGCAATTATATTTGTATTACACTCTGGTGGTATTTAGAGGAGGAACAGAACAACAAATACATAAGTAGGCAAGGATTTACCAACCTTATAATTTCCCCTCATTCCCTCCAATGAATTTGGAGTTAGGTAACTTGATTGAAAGTTTGCATCAGACACTTTCACCATGATGTCCCTGTAATTTCCTCTGTAACGTGCAGTAAATGGAATTGCAATGCATATCGGAAATGGAATTCTCTTTTCTCTATGTGAGCACTCAATGGTGATGACATTGCTGACCAACTCTTCATTATCACTTACTACTAAGGAACTCATTTTATTAATTATCCGGCATTCTAGATGCTGTAGAATGTATGACTGAGCTGTAATATAACAAGACACTTGAGGGTCATTATCATCACTCTGCATGTCAAGATACCTGCAGAGAAAAAAAGGATATTATTTGCCTGTTTATTTCATTTACTTACTGTACAACTAAATAAGGAAAAGCATAAGCTCCAAGCCACATGTCTTGGTGTGAATCCCATTTCTCTGACTTAATTGACTCTGTGACTTTGGGCAAGATCGTGGTCTTTATGCCTGAGTTTCCCCAACTGTAAAATGGTGATAAAATAATATCTGTTTCATAGGTGGGGTACAAGAATTAATAAACTATTATATATTGAATAATTAAAATGTTGTGTCTGGCCCATAGAGGATGTTCTATATCTTAGATAGTATTTCTCTTGGTATAATTATTTTTGGTATTATTATTTAAGTGTTTGGTTCACTCCTCAGTCTTATTTACTCCACAAAATAAATATGAATATTGCTGAAGCTTCTTAATAATCCAAATACTAATATCTGAATAATTTCCTAAATTGTGAGGAGAGGGAGTGATCTGTATGAGGTACTGCAATTGTCTAAATATGGTGATCAAATGATAATATTTATTATTTATTTTTAGAAAAACTGAGAAAGGTACAGAGCTGTGAACTTATGATTAATTAAGGTAATTAGAAACAAATTACCTATAATCTTCAAAAGAATCAATCCCAAAACTTATTTTAACTATTCAGTTTACTCTTGTTCTTTACACCGTCACACTTGCCAAAGATTTTAGGGTATTATAGATTTGATTTCAAATGTAAGGATCAGTCACATACTATTTCTTTGAACTTAAATATTAATAATATTAAAATAGCTAAAATTTGGTGCTTTTTGGATCAAGTTGTAGGTTATACACTTATTTCATTAATCCTCATGACTATGGTATCATACAAGTACCACTATCATCACCACTTTACAGAGGACACCAAGACTTAGAAAATTTAAATTTGCAACAGATCACACTGATGGTAAGGGAATCAAAAATTGAATTCAGTTATCTTGAACACAAAATTTCAACTTTCAACTATAATATTACACTTCCTCAAATCATTCCAAAGCTCTGGTTTCTTTATGTATTACATATTGAAACCAACACCTAATCTAAAATAGCGTGAGGATGGAATGAAATAAAATATTTAAACTTCTTATAAAAGTGGGCTGGTATAAAATGGTGCTCCATATATACTGGATTTCTTCATTAAAATCATGAGCTTGAATTCCTCCTTTTTCCTACTTCTCATTTCTTCCTAGTAAAATGACTGATATATAGACATTGTCATGAATAAGAGAATCTTTACAAAATACAGCATAAATATCCAGTTCTAGAATAATCAGGTTTTCACTATTCTCAATATTAGTAAGTTGGACTTTGGAGTGCCCTTTTCTACAGAAATATTAAAAATGTTGAATTGAAAAAAAAAAATGTTGAATTGGCTGAGAGGGTCATGTATTTATATTTATATTCTGAACTGGGTTTTATGGTGGTGATAATGATACCAATGCTTTAGAAAATAAGAAACATTGTTTAATAGTGAGTACAGTGGCCCTACCTTGTGTACCTTCATGAATACCTCTCCTCTGTGCCCTGGAGATCATCTCAATATACACTTTTTCCAAAAGACAGATGAAATACGGTGAGGAGACCTGCTACAATGCTTCCATTTCCCCTACCCCTAGTCAAATAGATCTAGTGCAGCAGCTAAGTAATCACATTGCTTTATTCTCTCTGTTTCTCTCTGAGTCTGGACATACTAGGCCAACAAGGCTGGAAGAGATAGGTTTGTTTCACTCATCCAGCAATTATAGGAAGCAGTATGGAGGTGTCTGAAAACATTAAATGTGGCTTTGCCATTGCCATTCGACCCAGTAATTCCACTCATATCTGTCAAAAAAAATTCAGAGACACTAATTTGAAAGGAAACTTGTGCTCCTATGTTTACTGCAGCACTATTTACTATAGCTAAACTATGGAAACAACTTAAATGCCCCAGAACAGATGAGTGGATCAAGAACTTGTGCTATATATGCACTATGGAATACTACTCAGCGATCAAAAATGATAAATTCCTATTTGCAGCAACATGGATAGAACTTGAAAGGATAATGCCAAGTGAAATAAATCAGACGGAGAAAGATAAATATCAGACGCTGTCACTAATATGTGAAATATAAATAATATAACTAAATTAACAGTCAGATAAAGACAGCTGAAAAAATAAGCCATGATAGCTGACTTCAGAACTGAAACAGCAAGGAGTGGGGAAGAGGAAAAACAAAAAGGGAAGTACAGTGGTTTTTAGTAGTAGACTGTGGGTGAGTTGGTGGTTGGGTGCACTATGGTGGTAATACTTGATGGTAGTACCCCTATATTACTTCAATTAAAAATAAATATAAAAAATAAAAATTTTTAAAAAGAGGTCTTTCAAAAACATACTCATGGAGGAATCTCAGCAGATTCTGAGCTGGGTTTTGTTTGACACTTTTTTTTTTAATGTGGTCTGATGGCTTCCTGGCCTGAAGGGTGGCAATGAGTGTCATCTTAAATATGCAAGTCAAGCACAATGGGCTCAGATGCCACAAGGCTGAAAGTACTAACAAGGGAACAGCTAAAGAGGTGTGAGAGGGAGTGGTCTGACAGTGACTCATTCCTTGATGTTTGGAGTCATTTTGAAATAAGAGGAGATGAACTGCTAATGCTTTTCTCAGACAAAATGGGAAACAGCATATTGACTTATTTAGTCATTTTGCAGGGGTAGTAATTTTCAAAGAGGAGGGTCATTCATGCATTGAAGGGACTCCTGTGACATTCATAGCACTTGTTAGATTCTCTAACCTGTGGAGACATCAGAGTTAAACTAATTCAACATCTTTATATTATAGCTGTGATCACAAAGGTTGAGATGTGCAAAGTGACTTGTCTAAGATGAGAGATGCACAGTGGCATCAGGGAAATGGCGTCATACATCTGAAGGAACAGCACACCGTATGCAGAGAGGGCGTGAGTGAAGGTTGATACTATATGGGAGGTGGGGAAAGTGAGGGTGGTTGGGAGTGAAATAAACCAACTTGTTAACATTTAGCTGAAAGTGGACAACTGTGAAGTGACATAGTGATATTTACATGATTTCCTCATATAGCTTTACCAAATAATCCCAGAAAAGATATATAATTTCTCTAAATAAGAAAATGTGGCTAACAAATTTAAAAATTGCACATGGGCAGGAAACTGTTATGCGATGAAATAGGTAGTAAAATTTAAGTCTAATTCCTAAAACCAACAACATCTTTTTCTCTGTTCTCTGTTGCTTCTAAGGGGTGATAGGTTTGCCTGGGAAAATATTGGTTTGTGAATATTTTATTTCACTTGAACATATAGATATTATTAACCCTGGTAGAGGGGAGATAATTCATAAAGTGGGATTTTTTATTGTCACTTTTTGAGGCACCAATGAAAGCTTTAGACTATCTCCAAGAAGATAATACAGATATAAAAGTAAACATACAGGTTTAAGAATGTCCTAAAGTTTATCCAAGACCCCTAGAGTACTACAGATATAGGTTAAAATTTCATGATAATTTAGGAATAAATCTCAAAATTTATTTGAAGCTATAATTAAAATGTGAGGCTAGAAATTTCTCTAATTTTTGAACAAGTCTGCAGTCTCCTAGTTTCTTGTTATTATAGTTGAGCAAGAAGTGATTTAGAAAAATGTCCACATTATGGAAAGAGTTCATTTTAACTACCCTTATGTTGTCATTTCTTCCTTTAAAGAAACATATAATATGCTTATTTTTCAAAATTATAACAAACTACTAGTAATAACAGTCATATAAATTTTATAGAAATAACTTAAACTAAAATTATTTATTTATAATATCTTTTGGAAATTTGATATGGAAATATAACACTTTGTGTCCAAGTCCTAGGTATACTAAATATAGAAAAACACAGCTAAATAGAGATTATAAGACTTGTCACATTACATTTACTTACTCCTTTTCAATTATGTTGTTCTCTTGCTTTAAACTATCTGAATAATTGAGAAGACTATTCATACATTTATTGGAGATATCACATGTTCTTGAGGATGTGGTCATCTCTCTTTGGTTTTCTGAGGGCTCTTGAATTTCTCTTTCTGTTGTCTGGGTTATGTCATGCATCTCTTCCCTGTTGCCATTTATGTTCTCAACAGTCATGTGATTAATTTGTTTATCATCTTCATTTTCTGTATTATCTGGGAACATTTTGTTCCATGACTCCTCTTGTCCTGTTTTATCTCTATTCAATGATGTATTGTTTTCTTTTACCACTAATTCTGAACTCATTTGTGTTTCAGTTTTTTTAAGCTGGACCTGGTTTGTGTAATGACTTTCCTCTCTGTTTGTGGGAGAAAAAGTAGCTGTTTCTATGACATTCTGTTCCCCACTTGCAGCAATGTCTGTTGCTTTGATATCTTGAATGGCGGACATTGTCTGAGGCGGAGTACATTCATCATGCATGCTGCATAAATTACACATCTCCTTTTCTTCTTTTTTCAGAAGTGTAGCAGTGCTCCCCAAATAATCATTGATTTTCATGAGGCAGTCTATGAAAGTAATCATTTCTACACACACAAATACATAAAAAGAGTAAGTGTAAAACTAATCTACATTATGTTTCTCTACTGACATGTAATGAGGTTTGCAAAGATAAACTTAGAAGCCTACAAGGACCTTTATTGGGCATTTAATATCCCTCCTAAAAGAGAAGTCATTTGTACAATTGTCACTCTTCTAACACAAGTAGGAACTGGGGACAAATTCCCAATTTGGTAATGTAGTCACAAAGAGTAAATCTAATCCCTCTTGCTTGTGAAATGCTTTGAATATTTGAAGTCAGATATGATCACCCATAAAACTCTGCTCAAATGAAATCAACATCTCCCTCAATCATTTCTTTTTTGGTATGATTTCAAGAACTGTTCCTTCTACTTTAATGTTCTATACCAATATAATTCACCTACAATGATTTGTCTAAAATATAACAAATCACTCCAAATGAGACTGGGGCAGCAGGCATATGATAGCTTCCTTATTTCTGTTGCTGTAGATACTAAAATTTATTGACTACTTTGTTGCTATGAGAATTGAATTAGGTTTACACCATTCCTCCTCCTGAGCTCATGATAATTGTCATTTTTCAAATTAGTCTTTCAAAGAATAGCTCTAATTATATTAATTCTGTGATTAGAATCTGCAGTGGCTAATCAAGGACTACTAAACGAAGTCAAGCCTCTTCACTCTGGTGAAAACCCTCACTGGAGTCTAATATAATCTCTCACTCCATCATTTCTTACTATACTCATATTGTTCATCCCTTCTCTTCTTACTGCTAGGGTCACCTTTGTTTTTTGCACGCAACTATTCAATCTTTAGAATTCAATTCTGAACTATGTAATATATTAAAACCCCATAGCTAAGTTATTTTAAAATTACCATGAAATCATCTTTTCACTTTTCACTAGTCATAAAATTACATTTTATTTATCTTGTACCTGGGGCCAAGTCTTTATTTTGAAGTCCTGAGAGATTATCATTTTTCATGAATAAATACTTGTCTTGATATGCCCAGAACCACATTCAATTCTTTTGACAGACTCAAATCCTGACTAGGAGCTCAGCTGATGGTCTCCATGTCATACTGCCTTTGGATGGATTCTCTGTCCTCTAGAATGAATTTCTTAACATTTTCTGCTCTGAATTCCTGATTATTGAGAATTTCCCTATTGCCTTGACCCTATAGCATTTACAGTTGTATTTCATGATGCCACACATCATGCGGCATCCTATCCTATCCTGTCCTATCCTATCCCAAACCATCCTATCTCGGGTAACTGTTGTCTGAGATCACAGTCATCCAATGCCATGCTATTCCTGCCATAATGTACTTGTCAGTATTCATCACTGCCTCTGGCCCCAGCAACCTGTCCAATCCCATGTTCTACCCACATCTTCCCAGTGCTTTTTCAATTAGTAGAAAAAGATCAAATAATTCTAAAACTTGTATATTATATTCCACTATAGAAAGCCTTCTGGTTCTGCCTCAGATTTGATCTATATTTTCCTGCTGGATAAGTGCTGGATACCTCTGCTTGAAATGCTCTTTCTAGTTCCTAATTTCCAGTTGCATAAATCCAATTCACTCCTTAAATTTCAGAACAGCTATCTCATTCATTCTAACAAAATTCCCACTTTTTCACTCTAAAATTGGGATCTTACCTGCTTCGAAAATCCTAAGCACTTTATTTCTGTCTCCACTGGAACTGGCCTCAAAGTCCCTTGCATTATTGTGCATTTGTCTAACCTTGTTTCTCCCATTGTATCATTATCCCCATGTGGATGGACTATCTTAGCCTTGTTTGTAGGTTCCTTAACCCATCTCAGAGTGGCTGGCTATCCTTTCAATATTTCTTAAAAGACACAAGAATCACTTGCCTTGTCTCCAGATGCATTCCTTTTCCTTGTCAAGCAGTACATGCAGCCGCTGGCAGCAGGAGTGCAGGGTCCCTGCAGTGTGCTCCAGGAGTTGGTGGAGGGCTCCACTGAGCTCTAACCCCAGAAAGACCACTGTGGTTACCCAAGTGGCCCCAGAAGTCCCTTCACTTTGGTCATCACCCAGAAGCACCTGCTTTAGCATCAGGTTTTGTCTCCAAATCTGCTTCAATATTGGGCCCAGTTTACCTGAGCCCATGTCTTCTGTATCCATTTTATGCTCTACAAGTGGAATGTTTCTTTCCTGCCAGCAAAGCCCACAGGTTTAGCAAATTCAAACTTGGTGTTTCTCCTAAAATCTAGGAGATGATCCAAGTTGGCTAGGGAAGCACTTTCCCCCAACACAATACTTTATTCAGCAAGTTGTAGGCCAGTGAAATGTTACTAGGTGACCAAGGGAGGGGCGTGCCTGCACCCCAGGGGGCCATTGTGTGCAGAGTAGATTAATCACAGGGATGGAGCTGTTTACACATTCCAACTCCCCAGTCTCTTGCAAGCATTCAATATTCTATGAAAACCCCATCTTTTCAAGTTTTGAGTAACAATATGTAGATTCTGTGGTAGATTGAGAAGTTTATTAGTCAAAGGTAAATTGTTGTAACAATATTGCTAGTGAGATTATTATCTGATACATAAAAATATACTAAAGTATTAAATACTATGATATCTGATTTGCTTCAAAATATTCTAGGAGTGAGGGAAATGTGCATAGATTAAATTATTGGCTAAAAATTAATTGTTGATGCTCTAGATGGTTAAATGTGAGGTCTTTATGGTAAAGGCTAGGAATAGAAAATTTGGGAAGGAACCATCCCAAGACCAGAAGTTAGAAGTGGGGGTAGAAATGATTAACATAGTCATTAAACAAGCTATAGAAAAGTAAATTATCCAGAGGTGCAGATCAGAGGCCGGGGATATGGAGATTGGGTGTCATTGTACAAAATAATCACCAGTTCTTTCAAATGTATTTAGTCAAACCAAATACAGAAAAAAACCTTAGGCCCCAACCCTAGAAATAATTAAAGGAATGAACACAGTTAAAGGAATTGTTATAGGGCAGCCCGGATATTGAACGGGTTGCCTGGCTGTGGGTCCTCCCCCACGAGCTTACAAGGGACTTATTAATACTCCACTACAGGCACACACAAAAGGTTAATAAAAGGTTTATTTACAAGGGAGAAGGAAATAAGGAAAACGTACAACTCAGGGAGAAAATAGGGAAATAAAGTCTTTAATGCTCCTACCCGATCCGCCAACCTGGAAACCCAAAAAGCACTCTCAGAGCTCACCGGGCGCGCTGTGAGCTGGCAGCGAGCCAAAATGGGGGACCCCCCACCAAAGCCCACGTGTCTGTCTTTATACCAACCTGGCTGCTTAACCCCACCCTCAGGTCCCAGCCACCTTCCCTTTGGTGGTGATGGGATTTGGAGTTCCCAGTGTCTTTGGCTTTGGCCTGGGGTGGGGGTGGAGTCCACAAAGCCTGTATGGAATTAGTTTTAGGACATCCTTTTCCCCCTAACAGAATGAATCCCCCCCAAAGAGAATAACACTGTATCAGTGCAATTTCTGCATGGGCAGTGACAACTTTCTTGCCCACCTTTGAGTATGCAGGGGTTTCTTTTCCCTTCTCCCTTTGTAAAGAAGTTACCAGCAGCTCTCAACCCAGGGCTGCCCCCTGTGTTTACATTGCAGGCCTCCCTTTTAGCAAACCTTTCCCTTTTAGGGGCCGTTCTTTCTGTCCACTTATGTCCGTGTAAAAGTCCTTTACTTTTCTTTCCCTTTTTATGGTAAACCTGCCCTTTTGGATTTAACTAAATGTCACTGCATCATGGGGAAACTCACCATATGCCTCTGAAGGGGAACTCTGATAAAACTTTTTTCTTCACTCCAAACTTCTCCAAACTGACATCACTTGACAATTATTTCAAATTAAAATATATATAAATATTATTTTTATATAAAAAATAAAAAAATGACTGCTGGAGCAGATCTATTGGTATTGGTTAGATAAGTTTAATTAGCACCTTCTTATATGGCAAGTCTGCAATAAGATTGAAATGGCTACTTGTCTTTTTTACTCTGATAACTTCTCTCTAATTGGATAAAATGTCCCTTCACTAAAAACAAGCAAGCCTGAAGAGTGGTGTTTTGTTGTTGTTGTTGTTGTTGTTGTTGTTTTCCTGAACTAGCAAGGAGCCTGCACCATGTATAATTAAAATTCAGATACAGCAAGTTCTCACCACTGCTGGCCCCTCAGCCAGCCCATTGCAATACAAGTCACCGTGGGAGAAGCTGGGGATGTGCCCAGCAACCCAGAACAGCAAGCTCCCTCCTCCTTCAGCCCTTTCCTCTGGGAAGGGAGAGTTCAGAAACAGAGAAAGCCTGACATTCCAGACAGGCTCCTGTTCTCTCAGGTCCTGGAATGAAATGAAAGCTTCCCAAGAGGAGTGTCAAACTATCTCATCTTAAGCTCTGAAATTCTTAGAGTTATTCTTGGGATACCTGGAAAATGAGGTGGGGAAACACAAACCCAGTGACTCAAAATAAAGAATGAATACCATGGCCTCAATACTGCCCAGCTGTTTCCGGTGGAGACTCTGAAGAAAAAGGAAAGAAGCAGAACAAGGAGTGGCGCCTGGCGATGGAGCACTCATTTCATAGAAGAAATCTTATTTTTCAGTAAACATCTGTTCACTGTGATGGCAAACTTGTTTGAAATATGAAGGCATATCCCATTATGGATCACACACAGTGTTTTAATAGTTTTCATCAATTTCTCAATACTAAAGAATTCCTGTTTCAATTTCATGTGATTATGTCCCTCAAACTCTTGAAATGCATGCCTGAATCTTAAGAATAATGTACATATCAAATAATGATTTGATGCCAATTCTGAAAACTTCTGATAGCATTTACTATGAGCCAGATAGTAAGTACTGAGCAAGGGGTCTTTTAGGACATGGAGAGAGGCAGATACAACAGCAGATAATTAAAGTTTAGACATTTTGAGAGCTAAGTAGAAGTATGAATTAAAAAAACACCGTGAAGCTTACAAGCAGAAGAGCAATTCCAATGAGAGGCCTGAGAGATGACTGAATGAGCAGCTAAAGGATCCAGTAGCATGAGCTTGTCCTAAACAGATAAGAGACAAATAGACATTTAATACGAGTTTTCAAATGAGGCAAAATTCATCTAGGCTGGGCCTCCCCTGGTGGCACAGGGGTTGAGCACAAGGCCGTGAAGGTGTCTGCAGCCTCTGTAGCACTGGTTTGATCCCCGTCAGCGAGTGAGGGTCCCACATGGTGCAGCAGACCTCTCCTGTCTCGCCCACTGTTCCCCTCAGCAGTGTATTTCTTCAGTCTGCCTGTTCTGTTCCCCACTCTCTCTCTGGTGAATCCTCTCACCCTCCCACGAATCTGGCCTGTATCCCCATTCTTGTATAAATAAATAAAATAAATCTTTAAAAAAAAAAATTCTTCTGGGCTGACAGCACCAAAATCTCTGATGTAAACGACTGCAGGAATTTAAAGAAAATAACAAAGTCAGATAACAGAACTACTGACATTGACTCAGAGTGTTTATGTACAATACACATAGACTCAAGCTACTCTTTTCCTTATGTCTGACGTCAGACATCCTACCTTCGCACCATGAGGCCAATCTTTTGCTTATACCTGACTTACCCTGTACTCACTATAAATTCCATGGAAAGCAGCACACTTATTCTACAAGACTTTCAGTTATCCAATCTGTTGCATAGTTTTATTTCTTTAGACAATAAACAAGTGATTGTCCTACTAACTTGAATTTTATTTCCATCCACTTTGATAATTTGATGCTAAGAAGAACTCTTGTCTTTTCAACTTTGCATAATGTTTGGTATGAATTCAGGACAGCCTACTAGTGCTTTTAATGTCAGTGGAAGCATAGAATTCTCAGAAAAAAATTTAAAGTATGGAGCCTCCCTGGTGGCACAAGGGTTAAGACGCAACCTATGAAGCTCTCCGCAGCCACTGCAGCACCAGTTCGATCCCCAGCCAGGGAGCAACACACATGGTGCAGCAGACCTCTCCTGTCTTGCCCACTGCTCCCCTCAGCAGTGTATTTCAGTCAATCTGTCTGTTCTCTTCCCCACTCTGTCTCTAGTGAATCCTCTCACCCCCCACCTATGGCCTGTACCCCAGTTCTTGCATGCATAAATAAATCTTTAAAAAAAATTTAAAAGTCTGTAGTAGTAATGGTCATAACTAATAACAACAATGAAGACACGAATCTCACATTAAGTCCATTAAGGTGTATGTATTCTGTGTCTGTATATACCAGTATACGTACCAAATCAACATATGAATTTCTTGAGGTTGACTTCTGTGGGTGTCACCCATCTTGTTTGCAAATGTCAGTTCTTTCCATAGTGGTGAGTGACATCAATTAATTGAAAACAAAATGCAGGAACATGCAGATGCTTGCTTAACAAGTAAATGCAGAGTGGACTGTGGTAGATCTCACTTTGCAAATGTTACGTGTTCTTGGGGAATCAGACAGAACAAGTTTAGACTTGAGGATGGGATATGTCAATGAGGCTAAGGAGAAATGTTTTGGGAATTTCCCTGCCCTGAGAAAGAATATTCCCACATATCTGAAAGAAGAAGGTTAAGAAGTTTTTGTCATTCCCAGTAGCTTATTATTATACTGGAAACATATTACTTAAATATCATAATTTCCTAAGTGCTTATCAATTTAAAAGTGTTTAGAAAGAACAAGTGGTAAAAATCAGTACTAAGATTTCTGGTTAAACAATGTAGATTAGCTACATATTCATCTCTGCTTCATTCTGAAATACCACTGAAAATGATAAGACAATATGTAAACCCCAAAGGACAAAAAGGAGTGGGTGATGATAGATAAAAGATGTCAACAACAACGTTTTGGAAGATCAAAAGCAGATGGACAAGTTGTGAGAAACCTAATCAGACAAAGGGGGTAACTATATGGTGGAAAATATCTCAATTCTTTCCATAGAAACACAGGACAGCCCAGGGATTAGAGGCATTTTTATTTTATTTTATTTTATTTTTTAACTTTTTTTATTTTATATTAACCTTTTATAATACATATTTTTTAAACAATATTTGCTTCCCCCCACCCTCTCTGATTGAGTCCCCATAGAATTTCCTTCCCCAAGGCACATGCACCATCACCACAGTCCCCAGTGCTCCTCCCTCCGTCCCTCTCATCCCTCTCTCTCCTCCCCTGCAGGATGTCTCTGGTTTATAATTGTCTGTTTTAATACCTCTGAAAGTGAAAGGGAAGTTAGGGCTTAACC